CAGAGAGGGGTCTTTTTTCCACTCGATTACTGACTGCGTAGAGCACTTAAAACCAGCAAAACATGCAATCTCTTTCCCTGTTTCTGCCACACTATTGTCACTCTTCTCTACCGGCCCACAAATAGAACAGGACCTGGTTGTACAGGAGAGCAGAGAGTCAGGATAACCAGTGGCTTCAACACCCTTGCAGTTAGTGAAGAAACTCAGGTCAGCTCCTTCCCCACAGCAGATTCCTCAGACTTAGGAAATAAACAGTGAGGGTGACTAAGAAATGCTGCTTTCAGGTCTCCCTCAGTTCTCTGCACCTATGTAGTTTTCAAAAATAGTTATATTTAGAGAGCTCATCTTTCTTTTTTCTCAAAACATTTTACTTTAAAGAATTTCAAATACACAGAATTAGGCAGAAAAAAGTATTTCTATTTTTGGTTCCATTATTCTGTTATTAGCATTATTTTTGTGTTCCATTATTTCACATAATAAACTCTAATCAGAATTTGAAACATTCTTCCAGATATGCTGAAATAAAAATTCAAATAAAAAAAATAAGAGTTCTAATTTGAGATCTACCTTATATCTACTTGGAGAATTATGAACTAACATAGATTGAAATCTCTACTAGATACTTTATGAGGATTAAAGCAACATAAACAAAAGCAATAGGGCCTTTTTCTCCTGTTTTTCTTCAAAAGGAGAACATTGACTCAGTACCCACCAAAGGCAGGCAGGCTCCTGTGAGGATGGGTGGTCAACTCCATTTTCCAGGTGAGTAGGATTAGAGAATGAAGCCTAAGCGTGACCCACACAGCTGGTACCGGGCTGAATATCATCTGAACTCAGGTCTTTCTCATTTTGAAGTCTGTGCATTTACACTTCCATATTCAGGAAGCTTCACTGCAGTAAGACTCTTAATTGCATAAATAGGCTCTCTCACCTCTTGCTTCTCACCAGGATCACAGAATGGCAGACTTCACCTGGAAGGGAAGGCCTCATTTCCAGCACCTCCACTGTACGGATGAGGACACAGAGGCCTGGAGATAGAAAGTAACTTCCCAGTGTCATTCAGGCTGGTAAACTGCAGGACCAGGAATAAAATCATATTGCATATCTTTGGGGCAGTATCTTCTACATACTGCCTTATGCCTGGTATAATAGTTTTAATACTCTTCTTCTTGCTTCAGTCCTTTGCTTAATAACATGTTAGAACATCCAAAGGCTGACAGAATTTGGGAAGCTTTTGTAGCGGCAGGGCACACGCACCAAAGTCACAAAGTCATTCAAACACTCCTCACTGTGCCCCTGAGGTGTATCACAGAGCACATACCCTTCCTAGAGGCTGCCCAGCAGCATGTGCTGTTACTGACAAGCAAGAAGACTGAAGTCACATTTCAGATGACTGCAATAATCATCTACCTAGCTTTCACTTAAAAATGCAAGAGTCAGAGAACTCCAAAGAGAAGGCACACAGAGGTGGTGCCCATATGCTACCATGTCTATCCGGTTCACATGTCTACAAGATGAGGACCCCTGTAACCAATGAAAATTCCTATTTCCAATGTTTACAATTTTGCTTTTTTATGTTTATAATAACCCTATGACACAGAGCAGGTTGACAATTATCTATTGACTGTTTTTCTATTTTTTGCCATGCTAATTATAATGCCAAGACAAGTTGAATAAGTAATATATTTCCCAAGTGCCAGAAAGTATAAGAGATACAAACCAGAAATATAAGAAATAGTCTTTGTCCTCTAGGAGCTTATACTCTGATTGAAGTCAAATGACCACATACACACAGGATAAATCTCAAAAGAATGAGGCAAGGCAACCAGAACTTTTTAGAGAAGAGACACAGGCCTATTGCCAGTCTGTCTTTAACCTCTGAAATATGCTCCTGAGGTCCTGAACCCTTGGAGGAGTGGGGAGAGAGACATGTAGAGCCCTACTGAAAGCAGAAGACCTAAACGACTCTTTGTAACACGCAGCAGAGAACAACTACATGCCTTTCTGGTGCACTGAAACAGAAGGGCATGTAAAGTAGCATATCTTTAAAATGCTGCATACACCTGAAAGAAATACCAGCTTTTCTCTACCAAAAGATTGAGATTAGTATCTATTTCTTAAAAACAGAGTACCAAAACTATGTTTTTCAGAGTGATTATGCATTCCAACTAATGTACCACCTTCAGGCTTTCTTCAAGCTTTGTCATTAATTGCTGTGACACAGGCAAGTTTCTATCACTTTTTGTTCATTGTTAAGTAACATGTCTCATCTTTTTCAAAAGTCCATAATCAGCTGGGCATGGTGGCATATGTCTGTAATCCCAACTACTTGAGAGACTTATGCAGAAGGATGACTTGAATCCAACAGTTTGAGTCCAGCTGGGGCAACATAGCAAACAAGACCCCATGTCATAAAAATAGATAAATAAATATATGCCCCTAATTGCACACATGACTGTAATTATTTATTGAAATTTCATTGGTGTTTTCTCTTACAATTAAACTTCAACCAGCCTTTAAATCATAAATGAGTAAGAAGTCATGAAATATTCAAAATTCTAGCTCTCCTTATCTAAAAATAGTTATAAAGATTCTGAACATTATATTGTATATAACACCCACCCCATCTTCTCCAATGAAAAACCCAGTAAAGTGGCCAAAAATGAAAGTCACTAAAAATCTAGATTTTGTTTTAAAGAAGAATTGATTTAAAGCATTATAAAATTGTTAAAATTTGTGTATTATAATACAGTTAAATCATTATGCATTTCATTAAACAATATAGGCTGATTCTCTCAAAGCTTTGCTATGAAAATATGATATCTGTCATATATTTAAGAAGTACACATAAACTCAAAGGAAAAAAAATGAAGTTTCTATTTCCCTCCAACATGCACAATCTAAGTAAGAGTTAAAATACCAACATCAGCTCCATTCACAAGGAGGAAAATTGATTTTCATGAACAGGCATTAAGCAATACCTATGAACCCACAACTTTTCATGTCCCTATCTAAAGACAAAAAAAAAAAAATGCTTTTTGTAAATAATGTCACATGAGGTTCTTATTCACACTGCAAAACTGCTGAGAATACTGGCTTTTGGTTTTAGTACATCTCAATCTTTCACGTAGACCTTACCTTGAAACCAAAAAATTATGGGGAGGAAACTATCTGGATATTGTTAAAGATTACCAGGACTGGTGACAGCAAGCCACAATCCTGGCTTTGACCATTGGTCTGGGGCAAAGTTTCTGACAGGTTTTCTGTAGTTTTTGCCTTTCTCTAACATATGTAATTTGAATAGATGTCTGTTATTTGAAGAAGTGGAAGAAATTATTGTGAAATATAGACTGCTTTTTCACTTTCATTTTCCCATAAGCAGTGGGAAAAGGCTATCCTTTCTGAATGAGGTGCTCAGATCTGTAAGAGTTGTGTAGAAATTTATTTTATTAAACTCAAGATAATGCATCTAGATTAAGAAATGAATTAAGAAAACGGAACTCTAAAGAACTAAGACAAATCCTCCCCATGGTTAGGTTAATCAATAAAGATTAAAACTATCTATAAGGTTTGGAATATATATATATGTAATTTAAGTTAGTGAATCCAGCTAGAAAATCCAGTTGAACACATGACTTTTTCTGAAAGATTGTCTCTACTGAACCAATGTTAGTAATTGCCAATCTTCTCTTTCATGATCCTCTACTGCCTAGGTCTTGGGCTGAATCTACATGAGTTGGTCATCATATCATGTATATGACTGTGGAGTCATGTTATTGGTTGACACACTCCACAAAGTTCATTTCAGAGCTACAAAAGTCAACACAGAACATAGAGGTGGAATGATATCCTCTACCATAACGAGGCTCTGTTCAAACACAGGTTTACACTGAAAAAAAGAAATTATATTGAGATGCCACACACCCCACTACATAATGCTCAGGTATGTAGAAGTTATCAAAGAGACCCTCTAAATACTACCATATGGATCCATAACTTTGGATGCCCTCATTATGAAATCCTTTTGGGACATCAATATCCTAACCCTTTGAGTGGGATCCTGGATACACTCACCCACGTTGATTTTTATACACTAACAGCGAGATTTTATTCACATTTAACATTTCTTTTGAGTGTTCAAGTATAAAACACTGCTAATTTTTAGTTTTGATTTTTTAATAAGAGAGACACTGATAAAGATTATATATGTATGTATGTCTTTCTGTCAAGTCACCTGTGCTGCATCGGTGGTGGTGGTTTAATAAGATAGGTAATCAGTGGGCATCAGGCCCCACGAGCAGCTATTTCTTCCTTAAATAAAGTTGCCAATGCTGCAACCAATTATACTGCCTTGTGTTCTTAACTAAACTAGTGAAGGCATAAATGTTCATTATAAAATCTATGCCATTTAAAAAAAAGATTCACTCATAGTCCTTACATTTTCAGTACCATAAATTAATTCATTGGTTTGGCTATGTACTGTTAAATAATCTTTCTTTTAGGAATTTTTCAAATTCACTGACCTCATCAACTATCCCTTAGAGCTCCCAGAGTAAGAAAAGGCAAGTACAAATGTCAGAAGAGAAACCCATCCCGCAAATATAACATTCTCATAGCTGCACTTTGTCATTTCCTGATTGGAATCAACCAAACTACGATGTCACTGAGGTTATATTCCCATCTTATTTTTTAATACTTACTCTTTGCTTTGGATTTTTATTAGCTTTTCAAATCATTTACCAATTCAGATGTAACCATACAGTTCTTAAAATGTCACTATGCCTTCCAAATTTTAGGACACTATCCCTTCCAAGGAAGTAATGGTTGAAGTTGCAAAGGGGTACAAATCAACCACAATCTCAGATTTTTTTAAATTTAGCCTGAGAGACAAAAGCTCAGGCAAGGAAAACCACAGAGGTGTTCTACAAACCTCAGTATGCTCGCAAAAGAATGCCACTATCATCAAAAGGAGTGGGGCATTGCTGGAAACTTGTGCTTACCCCTTGTTCAGATTCCAAAAGCTCTGTTTTGACTCTGACTGCCGGCATCCCATCAAGCATTAACATTCTGTTCTCAAAGGTGTTGATACTCTGAGAATAAAAGGGAGAGAGAAATATTCAGCTCTAAAGCATTCAAAAGAGGACCTCTAGGAGAGTCTTCCTTCACTGTGGTACATTTAGTAGTGCTAACCTAATTTTTTAAACAATGAAGAATAATTAAATGAGAATATCAGCATAACCAATTATTCCCCCCACTCTGAACTTTCATTTGAAATAATGACCAAGCAGTTGAATTAATCAGTCTGATTTTCTGACCGCTGGGTTGGAGGTCAGACTGTAATAAAGTGGAGTATGGAAACCTTGCATTAATTTATATGGGGCTGCAACAATTCATCACACTTTCACAATAGTGGAAGGAAATAGAAGGCAATTTTTTCCCTTCCCTTAGTTCTGGAAATTGTATTGTGCAAAGATATCCATAAAAGAGAAAATCACATAAAAATTTATAAAGTCTCATTAAATCATTTTAAATCAAGATAATTCTATACATTCAATTTTTATGTCATGGGAATTCTGGTCAAATGAAAATTTCTACCTTTTGACCTCCAAATATCTGCTTCAAAACCAACCAACACAAATCTTAGACTAAGAGTGAATATTTAGGCTGAACTAAATAACAAACAGTTATTTGGTCTTTATTCTGGTATATGTTTTGCTCAATTTACCACCTCTTGAAAAGAAAATCTTATGTATATTGTAGCTCAATAACATTTCAAACAACATTTATAAAAGATTAAATCAAGGTTATTTTCTACCTAATTGTCGCTGCCTTTGGGATTTTCTACAGTCAGAAACCAAGGAAGGTAGTCAGAATCACACATCAGTGCTTACATAAGGCCGAAATCAGGCTCATATTTTTAAACATGGTTAGAAGCTAACTTCTCTCTCACATATTGACTCAACTACAAAAGTGATAGAACTAAATTTGATTGAGATTTTAGAATGGTTATTTTTATTTAATTCTAGGATAAAACCACAGGACAGTAACGTGGTCTTTAAGAGAAAAAAAATCAGTTTCTAAACATTTTGCCTACCTGGTGAAAAAGATAAGTATAATTTCTAAACCTTCAGTTGTTTACCTTTAATATGGTTGCTTTCCTACAAACTAGCAAGTTAAATAAAAACAACTGGGCTGGGTGCTGTGGCTTATCCCTGTAATCCCAGCACTTTGGGAGGCTGAGGAGGGTGGATTACCTGAGGTCAGGAGCTCAAGACCAGCCTGGCCAACATAGTGAAATTCCGTCTCCACTAAAAATACTAAAAAATACAAAAGCTGGGCACAGTAGCAGGTGCCTGTAATCCCAGCTATTCCGGAGGCTGAGGTGAGAGAATCGCTTGAACCTGGGAGGCGGAGGTTGCAGTGAGCTGAGATCACGCCATTGCACTGTAGCCTGGGCAACAAGAGTGAAACTCTGTCTCAAAAAAAGTAAATAAATAAAAACAATTCTCCTTTTAACAAATTATAAAGTACATGTTCTTATTACCAAATAATACCAACAGAGTGCAGTATAGTGAAGCTCTAATTATTTCTCATATTTCCTGATTCTTCTTTTTGTTAAGAAAAATGTTCCAATAAATAAAATTTACAGAGGCTCTTATCATAAATATTTGCTCCAAGAAATCAACAAGAAAAAGCAGATTTACTCTGGAGTTAATGTGTATTTAAAAAGTCTATACCACCTAGTCTATTAGGTGATAAAAAGAAGAAAACAAATGACTGTCAATGTTAATTTCCTGGAAATGTTCGCTATTTTCAAAACTGGCAGTATACTTTTTAAAAATGTTTGCTTTTGACTTGTCCCTTTAATTCAGATTTTTACATCTTAATAGATAATTTAGAGCAGAAGTAACTGTGGTATATTACTGGCGAGCTTAGGTTAGTTGTTCTACACTTGAAATCCTTTCATGGAAGCCTGTGGGTTGTTTTCGCATAGGGCAGGGATCTCAAATCCTAACGTGTCACTGGCTTCCATGGTTGGCAGCAGCCAGCTTGGCTTACCACCATCCAGTCTCAGGAAAGCCTTCCTGCAGCCAGCCTGGCCTTGACTCTCCCGGATTCTGGCAGCAGCTCTAGGAATCCACCTTAACAAAGCACCCTGTAGCCTGTTTGGTTGGTAGACAATGAAGGATGAGCTGATATTGCTTCCTACCCTGGAGGAGTTCTTGCCCAGATGAAAAGGCAAGAAGATTCCTTATAAGGAAGGCCCAAGCAAAAGAGGAGAAAAGACAAAGAGCGTTTCTGGAAAAGCAGATTTAATGAACTGTTAGAATCTGATTAGAGGCTAATGTCCCTTTTAGTGCTTTGTACCAATTTACAGCTGATATACTTTAACCATTTTCCCCACCGGCTGTGATAAACTCATTAGTTTAAAAAATGCAAGCCAACCAGAGTCTTTGAAGTTAAAAACTGATAAATCATAAAAACCTGACTGAGTCTGTGTTCCATTTAACATATTTAAAATATCACTATATATTCAAGATGGTTTTTCTTTAAATTTTTATCATTCCTGAATAATTCTACATGTGTTAAAGTCCAGATGTACATTTCAGTTTCATGTACAAGTGAAAAAAAGAAAACATTCTCAATTTTTTAAGAAATCAAGTTTTCCTGGAAATGTTTCTATGATTTTCCAGAATCATTCACAGCCACAACTATAATAAACATCATAAATAACAATGTTCACAGCCGGGGAACTAAGCTTCAACTCTTAAACTCTTTTAACTAGTGCAGATTTGATCTGTATAATATGCCTGTTGCAAACACATGTGAAGCATATTCATCTCTGCATTCATAGATCTAACCCCAATTTTCATAAACAAAAACATTCAAAATCACGGCATGCTCCAAACTATCTAGGAAGGTGCATGATTTGTATATAACACATGGTAATTATACAGCATTGACAATACAGTCCTTGAAACAAAATATTGATAGATTTATCTCACCGAGCTATGATTTGATACATATACTCTCAGATAACTGTAGACTTTATGTAATAGGTTCTAATAATTTGGAACTGCTGTCAAACATATCTTGCCACGATCTTAATCAAAACACATCTGCTGTGGAATTCAACTGATTCCCAAGAGATAAATAAAATCACAGTCAACAATTTTAGTAACATGGTATTCTTCGCATATTTATAACGAACATTTGATGTTATACAATCCTCAAGAAATACTTTATGTATGCTTACACACTTGTTTCATGAGTGAACTGTACCAATTAATGAAAAGTTATCCACAGGATTTGCTAGTTGGCTGTTGACCAATTCCATGTACACTGGATGAGAAGGGTACTCTTGATATCCCATTTATCAAGTAAGAGTTGGCAACGGCCAGGTATGGTGGCTCACTCCTGTAATCACAGCACTTTGGGAGGCCGAAGCAGGCTGATCACTTGAGCTAAGGAGTTCGAGACCAGCCTGGCCAACATGGTGAAACACTTCTCTACAAAAAATACAAAAATTACCCAGGCATTGTGGTGGGCACCTGTAGTCCTAGCTATTCAGGAGGCTGAAGCAGGAGAATCGCTTGAACCCGGGAGGTGGAGGTTGCTGTGAGCCAAGATTGTGCCACTGCCCTCCAGCCTGGGTGACAGAGTAAGACTCTGTCTCAAAAAAAAAAAAAAAGAGTTGGGAACACAATAGTCCAGTTGACATTTGCTCCCCCTGTCAAAAGCCATATAAGCACAACAGTCATTGATCCCAACATCTCAAAATATTCTGAATGTAATGTACAGCAAAGAAAGGGACTGATCTTCAATGACCAGAACTCATAAAAACATACAATTGGGGTGACTTTCCAGGTTAGCTCCTACAATGTGCCCTCCTAACCTCCCAAGACAGATCTTTTTCTTTCTCTCCTCTGACCTTGACTCATTTTGCACAACTGGAAACCAGCTAGTCAATACTTAACATTCCTAAGCTTTTAAACAAGGTTTCCTGTCATAAGTCAAAAATAACTGCTATTTCTTTTGCTGTTTGTAGATACAGGATATATGATATATTTACTTAAATACACATCCACTTTAAATCTTCATGTTTAGCTACAGGTGATGAGAAATAAGAATATGTTGCCCCTGCCCCATGCCCATGTTATGCTAGAAAGTAATTTATGGGACATATGAACAGTCAAGATTCACTGCACAAAGTTGGTTGGGATGCTTTCATAGCAGATTTTTTTTTTTTTTTTTGAGACAGAGTCTTACTCTGTCACCCAGGATGGAGTACAGTGACACGATCTCAGCTCACTGCAACCTCTGCCTCCCAGGTTCAAGCGATTCTCATGCTTCAGCCTCCCAAGTAGTTGGTATTACAGGCATGCGCCACCACACCTGGCTAATTTTTTCTATTTTTTTTGTAGAGATGGGGTTTCACCCAGGCTGTTCTTGAACTCCTGGCCCCAAGTGATCCATCTGGGGCCAGGATCCACTCGACCTCCCAAAGTGCTGGGAATACAGGTGTGAGCCACCAGGATGGCATAGCAGATTTCTTAAAGGTTTATAAAGCAAGCATGCCAACTAGTTAAAAGTAACATGCTGTGGGTACCTCTTCCTACAGAAAAAGCATCAGAATCAGATTACAGAGCAATTAGCCTTTTGCATAAAAAAGATTTCTTAAAGAAGTCAACTTCTCTCACCTATACCCTAACGACAACAAGCACCAGTAACAACAGCAATTTTTTTCAAGCCCTACTGCAGATGTGCCAGTTCCACTAACTAACAGGTTAACAACTAACTTCAAAACCGGTTGTGTTCACATATAAGCAAATATGTGAATTCCTCCCTCTCTCTGGGTAAGGGTTACAAACCTAATAGATTGAACTCATGTTTAGGTAATTATTTCAGTTGTCTACTCCTATGCAACAAATCACACAGTGGTGTGAAACAGCAATCATTTTATCATTATCTTGGTAACAAAAATAATACAGATATTTGCATATTTGCTGTGAGCCAGAACCACGTGCTAAGAGTTGTGCATACAGCTGCTCATTTAATCCCCACTGCAACCCAAGAGGTTGATGCTGTA